TATGTGGTTGGGGGGGGGGTGTACGTGTACCGGTATGGAAGGATGTATGACAACCAGAAGCACCAGATACTATAAAACAGTAAGTTCTTAGAGTGCAGTCATTTTTTAATGGTCCTTGAGAGGTGTCCTGTGGATACAGGAGCTACTTTCCAACCTCGCCTGTGCACATTGCAAATCTTAGTTTAGGATATTGACGGTGTGCCCTAAACCTAAGTTTGCAGACTGTCACAATAGTTTATTATAAATTCTTAAAGCAGTCCTCAAAGCTTTTCCTCTTGAATAGCTGCACTGACAGAATCTTGTAAAATTCTTACCTTCCTGTTATTAGAATGAGACTATCGAGCTTTATGTATTGCTGGTGTATGATGAGAGCGGAGCGATGTCATGGTAGCTGGTCACTGCATGGTTTTTGACATCACCGGGTGATGGTGACGGCAGCAAGACAGTTCAGAGGGCTGTAGCAAGCATTGTAGGAAGATGGGGTTCTATGTCACTGGCTTGTAGCCTTCTGACTCTCTGTGGCCCCTATTTCCCCCTTTGGTTATTTTTATTAACAGGTGTTTCCACCTCCTACCCACCCCTGTGTATAAGTGAAAGATAAAGGTTTGGCATGGCTGGGCATCCAATCATGGGAGGTAGCCTTCCTTTCCAACTTTAGATTTTGTGATACCCCGTGTAAAAACAGTGTTGGATTCTGACCTCTCTGACTCTTGCTTGACTTTTTCCAATTTCTGAGACCACTGCTTAGCTTAACATCTGTAATTCTTTCTTACTTTGATAGAGCCCGACATTTCTTTCTTTGCTGCCTTTACGCAGGGCCTCGTGCCAAGGCTTGCCTTTCTCCTTCCCCGGCAGTAGCTGCCTAATGACAGAGCCCCCAGAGTGGGGCAGGTGCTCCAGTGTTCTGTTGTGTTGTGGCACAGACTGGGCTCCTTGGCATGGTCTCCACTGACAGTAGAAGTTGTGGCATAGATAAGATTATTGGGAAGGACTGAGTGAGCCACATGAAGATTTAATTTGAACTGACTGACTCAAATGTCTCTCCTGGGATTCCCCAGTGGGTTACAGCACTTAATGTTTCTGTTACTTCACAGTAGAACAGGCAACATGTTAACTGAATGGCCAGGAGATGTTCCCTTGCTTCTGCTCTATTCTCAGAGATAGAACAGGGAGAATAGAGACTTAGAATGAGAGTTTGGAAACTAAAATTAAAATTAGGACTAATCTGCATAAAAGTAACAAAAGTTATTTAGGATTTCGGAAGGCAGCTATGCTAACCACTATACCACCAACGCATTATTTAGGATTTTGAAGGATTAAAGCATACACATGGACACACGTTGCAATGTTTAGTTTTTAGATCGTTTTTTGTTAAAGTAATGTCTCACTAATTCCAGAAGGTAGTTCCCAGCCATTTTCCTCTTTTCCTCTTGGCCTGTCAGTTGAGATGTGAACAGAAGGTCCACATTTTCTCTCCTTGGAAACGACAGGGAGGCTCTGTGTCCTTTGTGCATTGTGTTTGATAAATGGACTGATCAGATTTGCTTGCTGCTCAACCTCCCCATTTGTCTCCAACCAAAGCAAATGTGCCACTTCCTATTAGAGTCCAAATATTGGACTAAAAGCCTCAATCTCATCGCTGGTCACTTGGGCATCTGGGACCGCTTTTGACACTTGTCAGTATTGTCAGTAACCAGCTCTCTCGGCCAAAGAGGACCATGAGATACATATCAAAGTGTTGTTAGGCAGGGGGCTATTTCTCCAGGATAATTACCACCCATCTCTGCAAGGTTGACTTAGCTAGCTCAACCCATAACTCCAACCTGCATCCTCTCACCAATTCTAAATACCCAAAACAAAACGATCCACCAAGATATTTCATGAAGTTGAATAAAGCACAAGAGCTTAGTCTGCCCTCGGGTACTGGAAGGGACAGGTCTTGAAGAGACACTTTGCGTGCCGGTGAGGTGATTTGAGCCGTCTTGTTCTGTGGTGTGGTGTGGTGTGGTGTATGGCAGGTGTGTATGTTCTTTCCCTGGTCCTGGTCTTCACTACGCTGGCTATGGACCTGGTCTGCTTACTACAGCCTCTGACTGGTGCTGGTGATGGCAACTCCCCCCTGCAGCTCCCCTGTGACCCAGGCCTGGCAGCTCTGCAGTCACTGCCACTTCCCCAGGCCTGGCAGCCCTGCAGTCACTGCCACTTCCCCAGGCCTGGCAGCCCTGCAGTCACTGCCACTTCCCCAGGCCTGGCAGCCCTGCAGTCACTGCCACTTCCCCAGGCCTGGCAGTCCTGCAGTTGCCACCTCCCCCTCGTGTTCTCATTCTGCTGCTCCCATTCCTCTTCAGACTTAGTTTAGAAGAGGCCCTTTTGAGGTGAAAAACCTTGTCAACTTTTCTCAATTATTTTATTAATCTCTGTTGATTTGGTTCTGATCCCGGGCAAGTGACTTCCTTAACATCGAGGCTCCTAGAAAAGCAGCCTTTTACCTCAACTTTAGTACTTTGTTTACATTTTATTACTCTCACAGTTACTCGAGGGGGGAAGCTTTGTAAAGCATGTGCTGAGCCCTGTGCCTGTTTTCTGGCTCACTGGCTCCTGTACTAGACACCTGCACCAGCTTGCTCTCCCTACCCCCAGCTCCTTTCACTGGAAATTCAGATGAGAAAATCTAGAAGACAGTCAGTTTCATGGGGTTTGCTGCTATATGTTTGTTACCATGTGAATGAAGACCCATCACCCCTGAGATTTGGAAATGCAGGAGACTGGCTATCAGCAGGGCCTGGATGTTGGTGGGGGGTGTGTAGTAACAAAACAGTGGTTCTCAACCTTCCTAATGCCGCAGTCCTTTAGTACAGTTCCTGTGGGTTGTGACCCACAGGTTGAGAACCGCTGGACTAGAACACAGCTGATGGAAGAGAAAGGACATGTATACCCCAGTGTCTCTGGGAAGGTGACTTTACACTTCACCAGAGTATGGGACCCTTTTATCATGCTGAAAGGAGGAAGCTCTATAAGAAATTTCCTCTGGCAGTTAAGAGGCATCTACTGAGGCTGCATTTTTAAGTCCCTGTTCCTTGTGCACAAATCCAATGGGTCTTTGTTGTATTTTAGCTTCACCGAGTCAGCTTGGAAGGAGAATTCTAGCCTTTCTTTGGGTCAAAGTTGTGAAATAAAGCAAAAACCAACAAACAACCTTTCAGAATCTATAAAGAGTGACTCCCCTCTCCCCTTCTTTTTGCCCTTTCCCATTTCAAAAATGTCACAATTATTAAAGGTCACATTTTTGGAAGAAACTTGTACCAGCCTGTATGAAAAAACAATCCACTTTGGGGCTGTATGTTCTCCACGAACCTATACATTCTTGGTGTCTATATTCACACACAGGCCAGTGGGAAAACCACTTAAATGTGTTGCTTATAAACAAGGATTTAGATATACCTGGGCATGTTTATGCCAATCAGGATGGCTGGCCTGATGTGGAGTTTGAAAAGAGTTTGTGCTACTATAGTTGAGTATCTGGGAGCTATCATCTGAGTGCTGAGATGTTTCTAGGGCCAAGGGACAGAATATAGGAAAGTGGGGAAATTTAGGCCATGTGGTGGTTTATGGAGCTGCTAGTTTTGCTCAGTTGGGAGTGGGCTCCTAGCTGCCCTGGTAACTAACACCAATACCCTTCTTGTGTAGTGAGTAGTTTTCTCACACAGCTCAGCTCAGCTCAGGGCTGCTGGTCCAACTGCAATGTGCGTTGAAAACTCTTGGCACGGCTGACAAAGATGCAGCTTCTATTTCTGGCCCTCTGTCCTAGGCTTGACATCAAGCTTCATCCGTTTCTGTAAGGAGCTCTGAACACCGTCATGGCCCACACTTTGAGAAACGTTGTCCAGCCTGTTAGTACTCAGTTGCATTTCAGAGCTGACCCTTATTACCAATTGAGGATGGAGTAAAATTGCAGAAGAATGACGACTGCCACAGATGTTTCCTGTGTTCTTAATCTCCTGAAACCGGGGGATTCCACCCTGCCCTACACATTTTCTCCCACCCTTTTATTCAGAATGTGGCACAGCACTATTTGAGAGGCTGAAGGATCTACTCCTGAGTAATGGTGTATGTGTAGGGGGAGGGAATAGTTTCTTTTTTAAAGTGGAAGAAACCCAATTTTAAAAGCTGTAACTCTCTGCGCTTGAATCTCAGACTCCTGGGGCAGAGTCCCCAGGTCCTTCTATCGGGGAACCTCAACTTCTATTGTCAGGAGAGAAGGGAGGGACCCAGGAACCTTCAAGCTGAGAGGATGGCTCTTTGGTTCCCTCAACACATGGCTTATATTAGTGAGCCTCAACTTCTCAGAGGGCTGGTCTGCTTCAGGTCTTCAGAGACCCCCTAAAAAGAGAACTGATAATTAAGCAATGGGACTTAGGGATGTACATATGTCAATTCCCGGTGCTTATCCAGGCATAGTGTGGTGTATGTGTGTGTTTAAGTGATAGGACTTAGGATCCTTATGGGAGTCAGTATTTCCACTCTCTTCTGTTGAATAAGTTTAAGCGGGTGCCTGCATTTGCATTTTGAATTTCACCTCCTGCTTCTTTCCTTCTGCCCCACCTGGCTTTCTTCTGAAGTTGCTAAGCAGTGGTGAAGGAATCAAGTCAGCAGCAGGAGGAGAAGAAGGAGGGAGCAGCAAAGTTCCATGAAATTATAAACTGGGATTTACTTTCTGTCCTCACCTGACCACCCCATAGCATGGTTGGGAGGGCGTTGGGGATCGAGAAGGCCTTGTTGAGAGTGATGCCTGCAAAGTAGTGACTCCTGTGTCTGACTGCCCACAGGCTAATCTTGGCCACCCCGGGAAGGGTTCTGGTAGCTCCAGGCCAGGCTTGTGTTGTGTTGCATGGGGTGAACAGAAAGGAGGGAGGTGCATTCCTGGTAGAGTGAGCTCCAGACGTGCTGGTAGTGACTGTCCCATAGACATAGAACTCAACGGAAGACAGAATAGGGGTGGCAGGATTTGGGGGTACTGGAAAGAGTACGAGGCCCTCACTTGTTCACCTCTCACCTCACACAATGGACATTTTATTTGCTGCTGATGCTAGCCAAGGCTAAGCAAGCTTCAGCCCACCGCTCTCCAGCCAACTAAATTATGGCTTCTGATGGTCACTGGCAGTTGGCTCTCTGACCTGTTATGCTACTTATTACTGAATCCACTACCAGGGCTCCTGAACATGAGGAGAGAGAGGACTCCTGCATTAGCTGGGGCTCTTGCTCTCAGATACAGGCCTGAACATGAGGGAGGGAAGAGGGCAACACAGAAGAGGATGACATTGAAGGCCACGTGGGTCTCTGACAGCCAGATGCAAAGCCAGTCCTTTTGACACAGAGTCAGCCTCCACCCAAAGACAGCCTGAAGGTGAGCTCCTCTGAGCTCAAGGGTTCTAGGTGACCCAGCACACACAGAAAGAGCAGGTCACAGGCCTTATTCTCACCACTCCAGTTTGGTTTGGGAGGCCCCAAAAGGAGATGATTGATTTTATGCTCCCGGGAACCTGGACAGGCCTTAGCTGATTGTCAGGCCTGATTGCCAATCTACATCACTTGAGTATAAGTAGAAACTGCTCCAGGCCAAAGCCATTTAGCTTTTATCCCCCTTTCTCCCTTCCCTGTGAACAGTGAGAGGAAGACGTGTCTCAGGTTGCAAAGGGCTGAGAACATGGCTATGGTCCAGTGTCCTGGGCTCCCTTTGGGGCCAGGAGGCTGCTTCTGACACCTATGAGGTTTCTAGCACCAGGCTCTTGGTGAGTTGGGACACCCTTGAACCCCATCTGAGTGTGAGAGGTGTCTGCTGTAGGGGAGAGAGCCCTGGAGGGAGTCAAGACTAGCTTCTCCAGCTCACTTGTTGAGTCATATCAGTTTAGGTTGTGCTAAGTGCAAGCTGATTTCTTTTCCTGCAGGAATTCCAAAAGCCTCTTACTTACATCATATACTATGCATCACTGAAAAAGAAACATAAACAGCATTTCCTAAATATATTTGGCCGTGGGACCCTTTTGAAACTGAGCAACCTAAAAACACCTTGCGTACAGAGTTCATGAAATGCCAAGCTGCAAGTTACCATCACTGCACTTTCTGCTCCCGTTTCTGTCATCTGTGGATTCCGTCTGGCTCCTGAAACATTGTTGGGAAGACCTAATGGTGGCCTAACACAGAACAGGTACAGGAACCTAACCTCAGTCTTTCCTGGGGAAGTTCAGGGCCTCTTTCTCTGCTGGGACCCAGAGACTATTCCTGTAAGAACCTGTGTGTGATCTGCTCTCAGCTGTCCAATTATGGGCAGTGCCCTGGGCGTGGGCAGCATGACAAGGATTTCCCCTCTGCTTCTGCTGTGTTCTGGAAGGCCCCACTTATCACACAAGGTCTGTTGGTGGTGTTGTCCTCAGGACCAGCCTTCTTGGCCTCCCTGGTTGGAGCTGAGGGCAGGTCTCCAGTGTGGATGGGACAAGCTTGGGCAGGGGGTGGGTTTCCCAGGCTGGAATTGTCTCTTTTTGTTTATAAAACACTGTTAAAAGATTATTGCCTCCTCTACTGCTGAGGTCCGATGCGTGTCTGCATTTGATACAGGTTTTTTTTTGCCCAGAGGTGAGCAAAACACACGACAAATGACGTGGCAACTGGCCACATGGAGATGTTGCACGTGGTGGTCTGGCCGGGAAGCAAGACGTGGGTGGGCAGAGGGACGCGATGCCCCATTTTCAGACTCTCAGAGGCCCAGCGCTCAGGCGATGTTGGGAGGTCGTGGTGAAGGTAAACGGGGACACAGACAGTCAGTTCCTGGGTCGAAGGCATTTAGAAAGTCTGTTCTCATCAGGAACCGAGGCTGAGAAGGAAGGTGGGGTGGGCAGGTGCGAGAGCTCCCCGCCCCCAGCCTGAGCCGGGCTAGTCGGAGAACAGGCTGGCGAAGGACTTCCTCAGGTTGCGGATGGTTTCGGCCTTGGCCTCGTCCTCGCTCGGGGTCCCACGCTGGGTGGAGTCGGACGTGCTGAGGCTGTTAGTCAGGGACTGAGATTTGCTGAAACAAAAAGGCAAGGGGGCTGGGGAAGACAAGGCCAAGACTCCAGAGGAAATGAGTCTTGGGGGCTTGCGTGGAAGCCAAAGGGGCCACCCCAATCATCATGAAGCTATTCAGACCAGAACCTGGAGGTTCAACACTTACACGGTGTCAGGTGCACACTGTGTGACCCTCAGGTGGGCTTAGACTTTTAGATTTTAGGTTTAGAAATTGGGGCTCTCAGAGGCAGCTCACTTGCTCTGGTCTTCACAGGGGGTCCCGGGAAGCCCGGGAGGCTCACCACCTTCCCGTGACCCCCACTTCCTTCCTGTGACCCCAGGTGGTTCAGGCAGCAGGCGACCCTGGAGAGGGGACTTGAGCTCCCGTCCGCCCGCGGGTGCAAACCCACTCTGGGAAGTGGACGGTGCGGGTCAGAGTTACTCCCTGCTCCTCCAGCCCCAGCTTGGGAATCAGGAGGCCTGCGTTCTAGACCAGTGTTTCTCAACCTTTTTTAGCTCATGGCAGACTTGAACCTATAGTTAAACTTCTGCAACACACTTAAATTATGTTGATGGACAAAAAGAGTAAAAAAAAAGAATACACTTACTGTGCTTTGAACTTCTTTCCGTAATTATTTAATAAATATCTTTTAAAATGTTCGCGGCATATCTAAGATCCTCTCAACAGTGCGCCGGGTGAAAATCGAGGTTGTAGACTGTGCTCTGCCATTGGCTATGGCCCTGGGCAAGAAGCTGACCTTCCCAGGGCTTCCTTACCTACTCTGCAGACTGACCCTCAGGCCCTTCTCGCTGTGCCACTCTGGGCTTCATTTCCCAACTCGGCTCTGAAGCCTTTTTTGGCCACACCCCTCTGCCCTTCCCTTGCGCCCAGCTTGGAATGCTCACAGTGCGGGTGCTTTAATCGCAGTGTGCCACCTGTGTGTGCATCACCAATGCCAACTGTCTGCGACTGCTTACTGAGCACCTCCCTCATGCAGGCCTAGTGCTAGGTGACAGGGGTGTAGGGATGCCTAGCCGGCTTTAGGCCCTGCCCTGCGGAGCCTCACAGTCTAGTGAAGGCAATAGACATAGGAAGAGATGACATAAATAGGTCTGGAGCTGAAAAGGTCTGCACACAATCTTGTCATCACATTACAAAGCGAAATCTGCTTTGAGGCAGGATATCTTTTCACCCCTTGCTTCACAGAGCCTTACCCAGGACCAGGCAAGGACTAGGCATCTGGTAAATACCTGCTGACTTGAGTGAAACCAAATGCTTTGAAGCAGTAAGTCCAGATACTTAAATGTTTCTAGCAGATAACTGTCAGCGACCAGACCTAGCTTAAGTCCCAAAGCCCTGGTCTGTCCTGTGATTAGCTGAGCTGACCCTGTTATATGGTGACAGGCTATACACACGTGCCTCTACAGTGTCAGCACCACCCTGAACACTAACTGTGGGCGGACTCACTTTAATCCTTGTAATACCTGGTGGGGTTATTGTATGTAAGGATGTCCCAAATATTGAGTGGAATATACTTATATTTTAAAAAGTCTTTGTCTTTCATCCAAAATTCAAATTTAACAGAGTGACCTATATTTTCATCTGCTAAATCTTGCAACCGTACTCCCGTGGATCACTCACACAGCTGCAGTCATCAGGAAATCCAAAGTGCAGAGAGGTGAAGTAACTTATCTGAGGTTCTATCATTTTTAAGTGGGAGTGCCAGGATTTGAACCCAGGCCATCTGACCAGAGTCTGTGCGGTCAGCTGCTATGCCCCTATTGCCTGGAGGCCCCTTGATAGTATCTATCAAACTGAAGCTACATTTATCCTTTGATTGAATAATAACATTTAAAGAATTTACTTAATAGTGTAATTCTGCAATTATGAAAGTAGATGGTCAAGGTTATTTCTTGCTGCATGATTTGTAAGATCAAATCGGTTTTTCTATTTATGGTGAATTAGTTAGATAAATTAGTACAACTTACAGTGGACTATTATACAGCTGTGAAAAAGGAGGCAATTTCAATGAACTGAGAGGAAGAGCTCCAGGATTTATCGTTAAACATGAAAAGCAAGGAACCTAACGGTGTATAAATGATTGAGTGGATCAGAACATCTATTTTTGTATTTTCATAAGGAAACAGTGAAAGGACACAAAAGAAACTAACAAAAGTGGTCATTTCTAGGGCCCAGGGTAGGGGGGCAAAGTATTAAGAATGTAGTGAGAGTGAGGCTTTTCATTGTGTATCTTTGATATCGTCTATGTCTTTTAGATCTTTGAACCATGGGAATGTATTACCTATTTAAAAGGTGGGGATATTAGCATGATCCTTGGACTGGATGTCCTGGATTCAATCCCAGCCTTTTCTACTTATTAATGGTGGAAGCTTTCCGGAGTTATTTAATCTTTCTCTGCCACCTCATCAGTAGAATGGGGATAATGATAGTCATTAACTCTTAAGCTTCAGAGAACTTTAAAAAAAACCCAACTTGGCACAAAGGAAGTGGACGGTAGCCACTAGCTATTAAACTGTGATGACCAATGAGTGTCTGGAGCTGAAGGAAGGCAGATGTTCCAAATCAACTAATTTGAGACCTCTCTTTTAGACCTCAAATCAAGAGATGGGCCTAGGAGGAAACAGGAGGTGTATGTGTGCAGTGATGGCTGATTTATAAAAATGGCCACATCAGTTCCTCCCATCCCTATCATCTGCCCTTTTGCAGTGTGACTTTGTAGCTCCTTCCTCAAGAGACTATTTCCTACCTCTTGAATCAGTGCCCGCGGCCCTCTGACTTCCTTTGTCCAAAAGCATGTGATGGAGTAACACTGTGTCCCTTCCAAGGCTGGGTCCCCAGAGTCCTTGAAACTTCCACTTTTTTTCTTTTTGGAAAGTAGCTCTACCATGTGAGAAAGCCTGCAGTCCCTTGGGAGGATGAGGCCCCATGGAGAGAGGGAGGCCCCAGGCAGAGGAGAGCGTGAGGTCCTCTTGGACCATCCAGCCCCACTAAAGCTGCCAGATGACTGCAGCTGTGTGAGTGATCCACGGCAATAGGGTTGCCAGGTTTAGCAGATGAAAATATACGTCACTCTGTTAAATTTGAATTTTGGATGAAACACAAAGACTTTTTAAAGTATAAGTATATTCCACTCAATATTTGGGACATCCTTATATCTAAAATTATCTGAAATTTAAACCTAACTGGGCATCTTATATTTTATCAGGCAATTCTATAGGCAACACTGGCAGAAGAACCTTCCTGCTGAGCTAAACTCAGAACAAACTGGTGAACCAAAAAATTGTGAACAAAGAATAGTTATTCTCTTAAGCCACTAAGTTTAGGGTTGGTTTGTTATGTGATAAGAGATAACCAAGGCATGTATCCATGGAGGGTGACCATGGGGTCTCCCCACAAATTCCATCCTCAAACCTGTTGTTTACCTACTTAAAGTCTAGGGGAGGCCCCATAAAGTCTTCCTTTGTCTCTGAGTCCTGAAGTCTGAATCAGCTCAGTTCTGCTGTCCCCTAACTCCACCCTATCCCCTTTCTAATTCCCAGAGCACTTACTTGAGATGGGGTTGGGGTGGTGTGGGCTTCTTGGACTCTTCACCCTGCTGAGAGGTGCTTCGGCCCTGCACTGGAGGCCGTGGCTGTGTGGTGAGGATGGCGCCTGGCTTGGAGGCCTGGTTTGGGGAGCTGCCACTGGACGCCCGGGATAGCTGTGGAGAGCCCGGTGACCTTTGCTGCTGTGGAGATCCCGACTGGGGGCTCAGGGGCTGCTGGCCTTGTGGGGACAGCCTCTGTTGGGAGGGGCTTCCGGACCTTGGGGTCTGAGGAGACTGAGCTTGACGAGGGCCCCCTTTGGAGATGGGAAAAAAGAAAGTTAAGTTCAACATTTTTCTTGGGAGAAATACAGCTATATATAAATAATGTTGCTTCAAGGATGTTTATTACAGTGTTTTTAAAAATGGTGAAAAACTGAAAACAGTATAAATATCCAGCCATAGGGAAGTAATTAGGAGCGTTAAGATAGATCCATGTAATCCATGTATTACTCATGTGGCTGAGTAATATTAAATGATACAGGACACTGTTGAGAATATTAGCATGTGCAAACAACAAAAAAAGCAGCTTACAAACAGTATATATGGTTTATTCCATTTTGATGCATATGTATGAGAGCTGTGTGTAGAAGAAAGACTGGAGGTTGAAATCTAACTCAAACCAGTGTGAATCAAAAGTAAATGTGCGTATGAATCACTGTGGAATCTTGTCAAAATAAAGATTCTGATTCAGCAGGTCTGCCACGGGGGTTATGGACTGAATTGTGTCTCTCCCTCTTCCACCACCATTAGGTTGAAGTCCTAACACTAGATGCAACTCTATTTGGAGATAGGGTCTTTAAGGAGGTAATAAGGTTAAATGAGGTCATATGGGTGGGGCCCTGATCTCACAGGAGTGGTGTCTTTATAAGAAGGGGCAGAACATCAAGAGTGTGCATGTGTGGGGCACAGAAGAAAGGGCATGTGAGGACACAGCAAGAAGGTTGTTATCTGCAAGCCAACGAGAACCCAACCCTGCCTGCATCTTGACCTTGTACTTCCAGCCTCAAGAACTCCAAGAAAATACATTTGTGTTGTTTAAGCCCGTCTAGCCTATGGTATTTTGTTATTACTCTGCAGACTTAGCAGAGTAATATAAGGATTTTGTTTGTTTTTTATTTGTTTTTGAGACAGAGTCTCACATTTTGCCCCGGTAGTGTACCGTGGTGTCACAGCAACCCCAAACTCTTGGGCTCAAGTCAGTCTCTTGCCTCAGCCTCCCAAGTAGCTGGGACTACAGGTGCCTGCCACAACTCCCAGCTATTTTTACAAACAAGGTCTCACTCTGGCTCATACTGGTCTTGAACTTGTGAGCTCAGGCAATCTACCCTCCTTGGCCTCCCAGAGTGCTATACAGGCATGAGCCACTGCACCTGGCTGATTTTCTTTGTTTTTAAAAAAAAAAAAACCAAAAAGATACCAGCCAGAGCTGCTGAGTCCTTGTAATAGTCATATCTTTGTGTCAATTAAGAAAAGGTGGCTTTCTCCATTGGATTCAGTTCTAAGGCAGGTGCCAGGAGGACAAGGACTGGACTTTAGCCAGCCTCCCATTCAGATATTGAGTCAGCTGGGCACCTTCCCAGAGGACACAGCCTGTGTGTCTGGTGGCTCTAACTCCACGCTGGCACCAGGAGCCCTAGGCCCTGACACAAGCCTTGCCATTAATGTGCTAGGTGACTGTGGCTAAGTCATTCCTCCTCTCTGGGTTTCTGGGCCTTCCTTTGTAAAACAGGGCTGTTGGACTATTCAGCAGACATCACCCTGCTTGTGAGCATGCAGAGCACTTTCTCAGTGGGGTCGCATGGCGGTGCTAGTTTAGGAGCTGACTGGACATGACTTTGATTCATCTTTTGTCCCAGTAGATTGGAGGGTGTGCTGATCTCCAACTCAGACACCTGCAGGGCCAGGCAGGTGGGAGTAAATGAAGCAGGCGAGGGAAAGAAGAATAAGGTGGATTTAAGATATTTTCTCACTTGAGATAAAAACATAATCCAGAGAACTATTTCTCTAAAAAGGTGCAACATAGAAGAAAATAGCACCTGATGCCTCCTGTCACTGTGGAAGTGACAAGAGGGAGGAGCTGGGCCTGAGGCAAACGGAGGAGGCCTGGGTCTGTCCAAGGGAACAGCTGTTACGAACGCCAATGAACAGTTGTGATGTAGGAATTCAGGCCCATTCGAGAGCTTCTGTCCTATCAGGAGAAGCTAAAAATCTAGATATTAAAGGGAAACCTCCTGATTTTTAAAAGGTTGGCTACTCTTTGGGTTTTTAAACCCACTGCACGTCAAACAAAACAGTTGTTTTCTACTTTTACCTCACATTCCCACCATACCCCTTTCCTGGTAGGTATCTTGGAAAACCTGGATGCTCGTTCATTGACTGGTTAACTATTTGTCGATCCCCTATTAAACATCTGGGATTCGTCAGGAAACACCCTAGTTATTTCCCTCAGCTTCTGGGCAAAGCAAACTATTTAGTCTTTTTATTTTAGCACATCCCAAACCTATCTATATATAGTTTTATATATATTTTATATAAACATATAAAGCATTTGCCTAAGCCCAGCATTTGTGCCTAAAAAAATGAAGTTTTTTCAAAGCAAATTTCATTTTTACTGAGTTGAGATGAACAGTGAGTTCACAATGGGTGAATGATGTTGATCTTGGTATTTGGGGAACTCACTGCAAGTGTTGTTTTCAATGACCCTTGTTATTTTTATTCTGAATGTAAATGCGCCAGCCATTTTCCTTAATTACCTTCATTGGTTTTAAATGGATTGTTTTTCGCCTCACTAAAAGTTATGTTTAGCCTCACGTCCCTTAAAATAATATCTCTTTATCAAGCACGTTTCTACTCTGAGCCAGAGAGGAAATGGGGATACAGTAGTTCTCTGTTTCCAAAGGGTTCTGTTCAGATGTGTTTTTAAGAAGTCAGTCCTGGGGCAGAGGCCCCACCAGGAGCCAGGTGGGGGTGAGGAAGAAGTAGTTTTGGAACATTTACAACTACAGAATTATTGCTAGGCAGGAGGGCAGCGGGGCTGCGCTAGTTGTAAGGATTGTTAATGATAATGATATTAGTTATAAAGATTGTTAATGGTAATCACTAAGAGAAACATAAGACACCAGTCATTAACAGTCGGAGTGGCATAATAGTAATAGCAAATGATTAACAGTAAGAACTGACAACTCCTAAGCACCGCTCTGTGTCAAATACCTTGCTAACTATGTCACCTGCATTATCTCATGGACGATTTCCCAGCCTTATGGGTGGCAGCTTTATGTCCTCCTTTACCCTGGGGAAACTGAGGCTTGGAGAGGTAATGTGACTTGCCTAAAACTGTGAAGGTGGTTAAGACATGGAACTGGCTTAAAAAACACACGTCCTCCTTCATGTTTACGTGGATGGAGCTAGAAAATATTCTTCTTGGCAAAGTATCTCAAGAATGGAAGAAAAAGTATCCAGTGTACTCAGCCCTACTATGAAACTAATTTATAGCTTTCATATAAAAGCTATAACCAAATTATAGCCCAAGAATATGGGGAAAGGGGAGAGGGAGGGGAGGGGAGGGGAGGGGGGAGGATGGGTGGAGGGAAGGTAATTGGTGCGACCACGCCTATGGTTCATCCTACAAGGGTACATGTGAATCTTTCTAAATGTAGAATATAAATGTCTTGACACAATAACTAAGAAAATGACATGAAGGCTGTGTTGGCCAGTTTGATGAAAATATTTCAGATTGTATATAGAACCAGCACACTGTACCCCATGACTGCATTAATATACACAGCTATGATTTAATAAAAAAAAAAAAAACCACACGTACCTGCTTGAAGAACAGTAATGTTCATGAGGCTAATGTAGTTAGGAAGTTTAAGTTGAAGCCAGTCCTCATTGACCATTCTAAAAATCCTTGGGCCCCTAAGAATTATGCTAATCCACTCTGCCTGTGCCCTATAAAAAGAGCAACTGAGCCTGAATGATAGCACATATGTTTACGACATGGTTTATTAAATATTTTAAGGCCGTTGTTGAGAACTTCTGCTCAGAAAAAATGATTTCTTTCCAAATATTACTGCTCATTGACAATGCACCCAGTTGCCCAAGAGCTCATTGGAGGTGTACAAAGAGATTAATGTTTTCATGCCTGCTAGCACAGCCTTCACGCTGTGGATCGAAGAGTAATTTTGACTTTCACGTCTTATAATTTAAGACATGTATTTCACAAGGCTATAGCTGCCACAGATAGTGATTCTGCTCATGGATCTGTGCAAAGTAAACTGAAGAGATTCCAAAAAGTATTCACCCTTCTAGATGTCATTACGAACAGTCGTGATTCATGGGAGGAAGTCAAAATATCAACGTTAACAAGAGTCTGAAAGAAGTCGATTCCAAGCCTTGTGGATGACTTTGAGGGGTTCAAGACTTCCCTGGAGGAAGTAAAGTAAGTTACTGCAGATAAGTGGAAAGAGCAAGAGAACTAGAGTTAGAGGGGGAGCCTGAAGATGTAACTGAGTCCCTGAAATCTCATGATAAAACTTGAATGATGAGACCTTGCTTCTTACATAGAAATCAAGAAAGTGGTTTCTTGAGATAAAATTTATTCCCGGTGGAGATGCTATGACCATTGTTGAAATGACAACAAAGGACTTAGAATATTGCATACACTTAGTTGATAAAACAGTGGAAGGGTTGGGGGGTGCCTGTGGCTCAAAAGAGTAGGGCACCGGCCCCATATGATGGAGGTGGTGGGTTCAAACCCAGCCCTGGCCAAAACAAACAAACAAACAAACAAAAAACCAAAAAAACAGTGGTAGGGTTTGAGAGGATTGACTCCTCTTTTGAAAGAAGTTCTACTATGAAGAAAATTCTATCAAATAGCACCACATGCTACAGAAAAATCATTGTGAAAGGAAAAGGCAGTCACCATGGCAAACTTCATTGTTGTCTTATTTGAAGAAATTGTCACAGCCACCCCTGCCTTTAACAACTGCCACCCTGATTACCAGCAGCCATCAACTAGAAAGCAAGACCCTCCACCAGCAAAAAGATGACACACTGAAGGCTCAGATGATTGTTAGAATTTTTTTTAGCAATAAATTACTTTATAGTTAAGGTATGTACATAGTTTTTTTTAAGACAAAATACTACTGTACATTAAAGTGCTATAGTAAAATGTAAACATGACTGTTATAGGTACTGGGAAATAAAAAAATATTGTGTGATTCTCTTTCATCGTGGTATTTGCTTTATTGTGATGGTCTGGGATAGAACCTGCGATATCGCCAATGGATGTCTGTATACAGCTGTAAACAATTCAACCATCCGCCTTTTCTTCAATACTTTCTACTTTTCCAGGAAGAGAAGAACACACAAGAAGGATGGATGGTGCATTTTACCTAAGACCTATAAAAGAGGAAGCCAATTGGTGCCCAGTGCTGATTTTTCTCAACAAGCAATGGATCTGTTGCTTTAATAATTGTTTCTGGGAAGGCCACGATATGATGGTACCGTTTTCTTACTGATAGGCTTTTAAGTAGATCCTTATACGATTACAGGGAAAGTGCTCACTCTGCTTTCCTGCTGTGCAGCTGTTCTAGTTCTGCACTGGCAGCAAATGTGCCAGAAAGTTTGGATCTCTAGAGAAAATGCAGGGCGGACTTCTGCTCGTGAGAACCCCTGAACAGCTGACAGTCCTCAAGAAAGTCACCCTGCTATTGTCACCATGTTCCTTCATCTTGGTATCTAGTTTATCCATTCTCTATTAAAGAGTGACATTCACATGGTAATGCTGGAATATTTTTGAGATTACATACAATGTCCCATTTTCCGTTCTTTCTTACTCTAGCTGGTTGACTCACAGGGCTCTAATCAGGCACCACTCATTGCTATGAGTAAACACCCTCTAGCAGGTCTGTAAGGCCAGACTTGTCAATCTGCCATTTTCTTATTGTTCCTCCTTGGGCAAAGCCTCAATTTTCACCTCTGTAAAAAGGAAATACTGTTTTCACTGAAGAGTGGTTGGCAGGATAAAAGTGCAAAAATAGAGGGGGCGATCTCACAGCACTTGTACATATATGGAATGTAGTAAATTGACTTTCTAGGTGGCATCTTCCTTTCCTGACTTTACGGGAATGACACCTCACAGTGTCGTGAAGTGGACAAGTGTCCTCTGTGGCTAGGGTATTAAGATGGATTTTCCCGGAGTGCCTTCTGGAAATCACACATGGGTCCCTCACTGCATTTCAAGAGCCTCACTGAGACGGTTTCTCTTGGTGGCGTGTCCTGGGTCATACCTTGTGGAGGTGGGCGTGGCTGGGGCTGTCCTAGCTGAGGTCCCCGCTGGGCTTGCCCTGGAGATTTTGCTGATTTAGTCTGCGGAGCCTAGAGCAGACGGAGAGAAAAGAAGCCTGCTGATGTCACCACAGCCGTTTACTTTCTGGGTGGGAGAGTTTAATTTATAAAGATCTTTTCATTCGGGAGATAAGACTTAGATTAAGTCTAGAGTTCTGGGGAGTACAGTGTAATGAAGTCCTACTCATGTCTACCTGGGTGTAACCACTGCCTGGATCAAGACATAGCACATTCCCAGTGGAGAAGGCTGTCCCCTACCCTCTCCCAGGGGACAAATCCCTTATGACCCCATCTGATCATTATTCAGATGTCTGTTGTCATAGATTAGTGTTTGTGGGGAAAGTGAGGGTGGGGGGACAGGTTTTGAGACTTGCTTTTCTAGGAAGATGGGGATCTGGCAGATTTTTTGGAGAATAATCCAGTGGTCTATGGTGGGGACAGTTGGGGCAGGAGCTATGTGAGGGCTTGTCCAGGTTGGAGGATGGGGAAGTGGAAGACACAATGTCTCTATTGACTGGTGCGGGAGCAGCACATAGAGGGCACGTGTGTACATGTACTCTGGCACGTGTGCGCGCACACACACACACACACATCTTGCTCAGGCCCAGGTTGGAGGGCATGGAAGGGACAGCTGTCACTAATGTCAGCCCAAAGATGCCCAAAGGCCAGCTGGGACAAGATTGTTCTCCCCGGGGTGGTGGGGGGAGGAGGGTCCCCCGGGAAGCTGCCTACATACACACACCTGTCAGGTGTGAGCCCGGCCTCTGCCCACATCCCATTGCTTTCTCCCTGCGGTGGTTCCTTTGGTCCCAAAGACTCCCCATCCCCAGACAGCCAGCATTTCTCACTGCTAGAAGTCTCCTTTGTCCCTCAGGATCTTACCCAAGGTCTCAGGGGCGAGGGCACCATGCCTCCTGGCATCAGGAGTTGGCCCATCTTGGAGACCACGAGGTCGGCCATCAGCTGTTTGTCCTCTTCCACATGCTCCCCAATCAGGGGCATTGAGCTGTCCATTACCTGAGGGAGAGAGAGGAGGCTGAGGGACCCCCAGGCCCGAGAGCCTGGCAGTTGTGCAGCACATCCCAGGAGCGCCAGCTCAGGACTTAGGACAGAGGTGACCACCAGATGGCGATGTCCACCACACAAACCACCGGCTGGCTCCTCCCGCTGGGACTGGGCCCCAAGGAGCCCCTGGGTGCCATTCCATCCCCCCTGCATTTGCCCGGCCGCAGCCATCTGACTCGCTCTCCGCCCCCTCCTTTCCCACTCAGGTCCCCTCCCAGGCTTAGGGTTGGCCTCCTCTGCCTCTGCTGAGGTCAAGGCTTTCCGCAAAGCCGGAAACAGTGAAGGTGGGGGCTCAATCAGGACAAAAAAAATGACAGAAGCTGGAGCTGATCTAGGGTTCAGAGGGAAGAGGGAAGGCCTGTTCTCTGGGGCCCTGGCCGAACATAGCTGGGAGCAAAACTCACTCCCCAGGGAGCTGGGCTGTTCTAGAAGGAAAGTGCTTGTGTGGGGAGGTAGCCTGAGGCATCACAGCTGCCCCTTCTGCTCTTCAGAGGGATGGAGCAACTGAGGCCCAGAGATGGAAAGGGACTTGCCCAAGGTCACACAGGCCAAAGACCCACGTGATTGCTCAGGCACTGGCAGCTGTAGGAGGTCTTAAATGGATGTCCGTCAGGCTTTAGCAGATCTGCAAAATGGCTGGCCTTGTCATCTTCTGTCCTCCTCCACTGTAGGAATCCAGCCGCCTGTGCTCACCTGCCCCACCCCCATCACTCACTGTCTTGTCTCCCATTCCCCTGAGCCCTGAACTCACCAGGTTCTCGCTCTCCTGCAGGTCCTTCTGCAGGTCATTCCCTCTGCCTACTCTCTACCTGGCTAACTCCTCATCCAGTGAGGCACCTTCCTCCAGGGACCCTCCTCCGACTGCATGAGCTCTGCTGAGCCACCTTACACTTGCATCCCACTGTCCTCAGTCTGCCTGTCCCACTGGACAGCTCATCCCGCAGCACTGTCATCTCTTGTTTACTGGGTCTCCACAACTGGACTGTGAGCCCCCAAGGTCAGGGAGTGGCCCTGAGTCCTGTTAGACAGGTATGCCTTCAATAAATACCTGCTAAGTGGAGGCCTGACAGGTCCTTGCAATAAGCCCTCCTTGTAATGGCTAGGATACTAACAAGTGCTATATTTTATTGAATATTGAATACTTGCTATGTGCTAAGCACTGTTCTAAGCTTAGGGTGTGGATGATCTCACATAAATCTTGCAATAGCTCTTTCAAGTAGGTACTATTATTACCCTGACTTGAAGGTCAAAGAAGTGGCAAGTTCAAGGACACATTGCTAGCAATCCATGATCCTTGCATTTCATCGGATGAATTCTCATCAACCCCCTGAAAAGGTGGGCAAAGGAAATCTGGGTTCCAGGCCTGAATTCTGGTATGGACTTGCCGTGTGATCTCGGGCGAGTCTCTTGTCTTCTACGGGCCTCTATTTTTCTCAGTAGTGAACTGAGGGATTTGAGCAGCTGCTAAGACCCTGCTGGCTGGAACTTTTAGGGGTCTGTGATCTAAAGCACCCATTGTAGTTGGGAATGAAAAGCAAACTCAAGGATGAGTACAGATTCTAGCAGGGTCCTGAAGACTCTGGGAGTTGAGCTCCTTGTGGGCTGCATGTGGGCCTGGGACATCCCGGGATCCCAGTGCCCAGTACGCGGACAGTCTCTCAGTGGGCACTGGCTGAGCTGCTGTGACTGTGGGCTGTTTCGAAATGTATGTGGGCTTCTGCACCCTTGTGTCCCCTGCCCCGGGCCACCCCTTTCTTTTCTGGTTTCTATTTCCTGCACTCCCTGCAGTGGAAAACGGCCACCGCAAGGAACCTGAGGTCAAGGCATTTGGAATCCCCATGGTAGATGCGGCCAAAGGAAGTGGACACTCTAATTTCCCCAGGGAAACATTTTTCCAGTGAGCAATGTCATTCCCCGCACAGGTTAGAGAGGGCAAGTTCAAGGGTCTTTCCCCTGAGCATTTCATTGTAAAGATCTTCACAAAACATTTCACACAAATTTTCTGTTCTCACCACAGAGGTGGCTGAAGAAGCCAGTATTTTTAGATCTCTTCTCCCTTTTTTTCTCCCTCTCTGGGGGAAAATACCTTTTATATTCCTGGTAACAAGTTCACCATCTTCCCTGACTCCACCCCAAACCCCAAAGCAAGGGAAATAAATTCTGCAATGTTTTTGTGAGGAAAAACAAATCTGAAAAGCCATCTTTCTTTCCTTTCCTTTCCTTCTCTCTCTCTCTCTCTCTCCCCCCCCCTGGAACATTTTTGAGATGTTGTTTTCTTGTTTCTTCAAGTTCAAGCCCACGACTTTGACTTTTTTTATGTGAAAGGTCTTTCATCCCTGACCGTCTGAATGTCTGGAGCCAGGAAGCCTGGGCCCACGGACACAGATTTCTTTTCTTCCTACGAGTGAAAGTTGAATTCAGAGAGGCAGGAGCACACAGGGGCAGAGGTAACACTACCTCGAGGGAGAGGGAGTGACCGAGCTAGGATGGGCTGGGGGAGCCAGGAGTCCTTCATCCGTTGACCACCTGTCACCTTTCTGTAGTGGCAGCTGTGGGAGGAAGGGTCCCTGCTGTGGTGTTTGCTGCTGTGCTGTGTTCACCTGGCTTGGGGGCTGGTGCCCTGGGGAGTGGCTCAGTGAATAAAGGACTGAGGGCTTGTGGCCAGAGCTGGGTGCATGTCTGGGGGTCCTGAGAGGAGATGCAGAGGCAGGAGGTCCAGGTAGGGTCTCAGGACCTGCAGTGCCCAGGAGGAGGATCCCTGCCCCACCTCTGGACTGAAGCTCCCAGGAAGGTGGGAACTGGCTCCCCCGGGCAGCAGCTGTTTCTGGCCCCTTCCATGGTTCCTCCGAGAAGGGGCAACTCGGGGAATCTCAGGAATGATAGTGGCCAGAGGGAAATGGTTTCTGGACTGAAGAGGTGTTCTCCAGAGTAAGACTGGGTCTGCTAATACAGACGTAACTCATCCTGTGGAGCGCCAGCTTTTCTGGGGGACCGTCGTCCTGAGCTGCCTCCCCTGGTCTCCAGGGAGGCACCCTGGGGATGGGTGTGAATGCTCTCCTGGCACAGCTGGTTCCCCCTCACTGAGTCAACTGGTCCTGCTCGGCAATGGCTCCCCGAGGAGTGGGGCAGACACGAGGGCCTGGAGGACAGGCTGGCTCCTGTGGTCACCCTGGCCATGTGCTTCCCATTAGCCGTCCACACCCCGGGGAGGGGGCAGCCGCGGGGCTCTCCCTCACGTGTCTTGGCCTTGTGTCAGCGCCATCCCTGCGCTGTGGGCTGAGGACAAGGCCATGGAGGGAGACAGCTGGGTGAGGACGAGGGTGTGTGGGGTATAGAGAGGATGGGGGACTCTAAGGTCAGAGGGATATTTTCAGGGAAAGCAGTGAGGGCCACAGGATGTAGGGGGAGGGAAGGGGAGGAGAGGAGGGAAGAGGAGTATCTAGGGACCATGAGGAACATGGGGGAGTCACAGAGGAGCTTGTGGGCCTGGGAGAGGCACGGGCTGAAGGAGGGTCTTGAGAGAGATTCTGACCCACAGCCCCCTGCCGGCCTCTCTCCTAGTGATAGTTCCCTCCATCTTTCCCTCCGGTCACACCCCTGCACACCTGGGTCCTCGCCCTCAGCCCTCAGCACCTGCCTTTGCTTAGCGCCCTCTTCCCTGCCAGCCTGCAAACCCCATGTCTGCTGTGTCCAGCTGCACCCCCAGAGCCACACCCATGCTTGCCCATGGAACCCATAGTTCATATTTGTTGCGTGAACAAGTGATGGAGTTTCTGCACGGTGACAGTGAGGAAACAGAAGGGGCCCAACTGGACGGAATCCTGCCAAATACTCTTCCCCCTACCTTTAAGCCTGCAGGTTAGGGAAAGTTGTTAAACCCCTTGCCCTGAACTTTTGCCCCAGGGCAGGAAGGCTTTTGTGGCAGCCTGGGAGGGGCGTGAGGGCTGTGGGGGAGGAGCCTCCTGAAGCCACCCACTGAGACTCAGGCTGCTTGAGCCCAGGACAGGACCCAGGACCCAGCTGACCTACTGGAGCCCATGCCTGCATTCCCTCCCTCCCGCACGCCTGCCAGCATGCCCCTCACCTCAATGATGTAATCTCTGCCATCCTTGCTGTGGACGGCCTTGACGGCACAGATGTCCAGGCCGCCGAACATTTCCGAGCAGCTGTCCACCCATAGCCTGTACCTGCAGGATGGATAGATGAACAGCAAGGAAGCGAGGAAGGGGACACACAGGGAGAGAGGGGGAGACACATACAGAAAAACAGGCAGGGAGGGACAGCGACACACATGCACCCAGATAGAGATGGAGAGAGAGAGAGAGACAGAGAGACAGTGGGAGAGAGGGAGGCAGGGACAGAGGTGGGCAGTGGGAGAGAGGCCCAGAGAAAGAACAGGAAAGAGGGGGACAGAGGAGAGACGAAGGAGGAGGGAGAGAGAGAATGGGATCCCCCACCCACAGGACCCTGAGGGCCCGACAGCCATGGGAGCTTATCCCACCCACCGGAGCTATCCTGGACACCCAGCCATCCTGCAGCCCTTTCCCTGGGGAAAGCTGCTTGAAGGGGCTCCAGAAAGCCCTCCCAGGATGCCCCCAAGTGCCAGAGCCCTGGCCAGACCAGACCTGGTGGGGGACAAAGGGCACATTCTCCCCAAGCCTGGGGCAGGCCGGCTGGGGAGCCTGGCAGGCTGCTCCCGCCTGGCCCAGGGGCCTGGCCCTCTGGCCCTGTGGCTTTTGTTCCCTTTCCAGCTACTTGATGGCTGCAAGGCCAGTTTGCTTTGCTGGGGACAGATCTCAAGGCTGGACTTTGACCCTGCAACAAGGGGATGGTTGTATCCGGAGAAATCTTCCCAGCTTGCACTTGGCTCCCCTTGTGGGCTGGATTTGGGAGTCACAGGGGACTTTGTGTCTATGTTCTTGCTTCTTCCCCCACTCTCCAGGGTCACCGGGGGCTCGCCTGCTCTCAGATCTCTTTGTGTCTGTGAGCCCTAAGGGCTGGGATAAGGAGGGATCCTGGCTGGAGAGCTCTTAGAACTCATCTCTCATCTTACTCATAAACAGCCTAGAGAGGGAGAGGGGCTTCCCCACGTCACAGCAAGACAGTCAGAGCCAGGATTACTTAGCTCTCTCGGGGCTCCTAGCGCAGTGTTCTCAAGCAGCTGTAGTGAGGAGCACGTGAGATCAGAGAAGTAAAAGGAAGGATGGAAACTCACACCCACTGAGCTCTCTCTGCTCAGTGGGGGGCGGGGGGGATTGACTCTTCGTTCTTCCTAATCCCATCACAACTTTATCAGGAAAGTCTTAACCCATTTTACTGATGAAGAAATGGAGGCTCAGTGTGACTAATAAATCATTGTGCACCTTCTGAACCCAGACCCTATCTGACTCAAGATTCTAGGAATTCCCAACTCTGGATTCCAGGCCACCCTATTCTGAATGCATCTGGCCTGTCCTCACTCAGAATGGGAGACCAGGGACCTACATTCTTGCTATTAATTCCTTGATAATTTTAGGGGGCCTATCCTTCTTGCAGCCTCTGTTTCCTAATCTGTCAAATGGAAAGACCTAGGTCCGATTTTGGTTTGGACATCAGAATCACTAGGAGGGTTAAACAAATGCACAAATAAATAGCCAGATTTGGGGGCTCCACCCTATGTTAGGATAATTTCTGTAATTTTTAAAAGCATCCCAAGTGATTCTGATGGGTAGCCACATTTGGGAACCTCCTTGGTCCTTGGAGTTCTCGGAGTCCCCTGGACTTCCCGATTGATTGGTGTCCTTGTATTCAGCACCAAGGGCTGATTTGTGGGCACTACATGCTTAGGGAGAGTGGTGCCCTGAGATGCATCACAAATCTGGTTTCTTCTCAATGGAAGTTGGAAGTCTGGGACTAGGATTGGAAGCAACTGGTTTCAGAGGCTATTTGCAGATGATGAACTTCTGGGTCACGTGCTGGTTGTACCCTGCAAAGCACAGGCACCGCAGTGTCCAGGAATGGGCTGTAAGGGTGGAGCAGTGTGGGAGACTCTGGAGGATAGAGTCCTGGTCCCCTGCAGCCAGGTGGGACTAGCACTGGCTCTGCCTGCTGGTCAGGCTATTTGGCAGGCAGGTGAGCCAGGTGGATGGAGGGGTCTGTTTATGGGTCCCTATGTGGACTTTGCCCCTGAGGAGCTCTGTTCAGGCCCCGAAGTTCTGGCCATGACTGCAAAAATGGCTACTCAGCTTCTAAACCTATATCCTATCCAACTCCAGATTCCAGTGAACAGACTCAGTCCGTGGTAGATTCCTGGGGGAATGGCCCACGTGGCCTGGGACTGAGCAAAGCCCTGGAGATGCTGGGCTACTGGGGACATCGTGAGCAGCTCCCATGGAGAAGAGGGCCATGACTGTCTCATGCCAGGTGGTGAACACAATCTCTGTGAGACTGGAGTGCTGGGTGTGAGTGTGTGGGGTGTTCTCAGGTTAATGAGAGCAGCTGCTCCGGAGGTTGATGGGAAGGGGAAGTGTCCTCCCTGCCTTGGGCTGCCGCTGGCTTAGGTTCTGCACATCCCTCCCTCACTCAGCCCCCTCAGCTGCACCCTGACCTGGGTACTATTGCCTTTGTTAAGCGTGGAGTTCAGGACTATTAAAGTACTCAAGGTCACCCTCTGTTTTACTACAGGGGGTGGAGACCTGGCACAGACAGGTCTGTCCAATAACTGCTTTGACGCTTCCCAGGCCATAGCGATTGGTTCAGGGATGGTCATGTGACCTAAGCTAGGCCAATCAGCAAATACAGCTCAACTCCAGGCTTTGGTTGAAAAGGTTGGGAAAAAGGAACTTTCTTTCTCCTGGCACCGTGAGGCTAGAATCCCAGGGACACCATAGGCCGCCATTTGAGAGAGGCTTTTCGAATTATGGCAAAGAGAAGGAGAGCCAGGATAGAGAAGGAGTCCTAAAGCCTCACCTGCCACTGTACCCTTTTCAGTGACACCAGCCAGTAAATCTTTTTGTACAATTCAATCTGATTTATATTGTGACACTTGTAACTGATACATAATTCTTAGAGGAAACCGTGGAATATTTTCATCCTTTTGGTGCTCAGTACAACATGGCATGCAGTAGGTGCTCAATAAATGTTCACTGAATAGAACTTTCTGGCCATGCAGCCCGTGCTGTGTCCACGTGTGTCCACTATTATTGCAGGCATGCAGGTAGAAGCACTAGCAGGCAGGCAAGAACGTGTGTGTGGCTGGCCCTGAGACCAAGTGACTTAGTGCTTTCTCAAGGAGGCTGGCACACAGCAGTGTCTCAGGGAGAAAGACCCAAGTGCACCCCTGAAACGCATGCTTTGTGGGAAGTCAGCCTCTCCCCATTCTTACAGAGGAAGTAAGTCTGAGAGGGGAAGGGGACCCTCCAACACCCCTGCTTCCTCAATAAGGATGCTTCCTTGCAGCTGCCAGGGTGGTGAGTGCTGTTATTTTCCTAAAGCAGCTGGGCCGGAAAGATCGCTAGACGTAGAGTCAAGACATCAGGGTCATACTCTCAGCGCTGTCATTAATCAGCTTTGTCACCCTAGACAAATCACTTCCCCTCTCCGAGCTTTCTTCTCTCATCTGTAAATGGGATTATTTTAATACCTACCCTGTAGATTGTGGTAGGCAGTAAAGGCGGTCATGCCTAGGAAAGTGCTCTCTCTGAGTGGGGAGCACTGGGTACAGCATGAGGTGGCCGCCTTTACAGGGCTCCTTGTTGCATTTCCCCCTCAGCACCCCCCATGGCCAGGGCCCCTCCCAATAATATCTCTTCTGTCTCTTACCTCTCCGTCATGGCCACCTGCTCCAGCATGGCAGATCCTGTGTTGGCCTTCCAGTTGCCAGATATAGAGGTTCTCCTGTATCGGAACAGATAACACACGGAGGGTATGAGAGGATTCTGTCACTGATCTGATTTCTTTCTTTGCTTTGGCTGTGAGGAGGCTCTGAGTAAAATATCTGGCTCAATTATGGCATGTGTTCTTAGTTACACACATGGACCTCAGCTATATTTTCTTATTTATTTCCCTTTATGTGACTGCTTTATTTATTTGTCAGATCTTGTGTATTATTTCCTAAGCCATCTTTGACATTTACAGATTAAATTTTAAGAATGCCTATATTATTAGATGAAATCCCCCAGACTTTGGTTGGACTCCAGTTTTTGAGGAGAACTAGGGCAGTGTAGCCGATGGTGGTTCTGGAATTTTTCAGGCCCTCAAATATAGAAAAAATGATCCTTAGCGAGACATGCGTACTTTTCCATTGTGAAGAGGAGGAAGGCCGTCCGGCCCCTTCCTGCCCCACCATCCTCCTTCCTTCCCTTTGCCTTTGCTGCTCCAGCAACAACTGACCTCCTTTCTAGTGCTCCTTCCCTGTGGAGTGGCCTCCATGTGCCTTCTTCCCTTTGCCACAGACAGTCTTTGTCTCGTATTTACCTCCCCAAGTCCTCCTCATCCTTTTGGTTTCATTTGAAGCCTGACTTTCTGAGAGGGCACCTTCCCAACTAGAGTAGACCCCCTGGACTACACCTGACAATGAACTTCACAGTGCCCATCTCACTTATGATTGCTTTAGTGTCCTCTCTTCCCTGATGGAGGGGAAAGCTAAGGGTAGGAGCCACGTTTGACTTCACACCCTGTACACTCGGTGTGCAGTGACACCTGGCCTGTAATAGGTTCCCAGTATCCAATGGGGCCTGGTATGTAATGGGCGTCCAGTATCTACCTACTGGGTGGGGACAATGTATGTTGGGGTTAAAATCTCAACAGACTATCCCCAAAGGGACATCTGGATTCAGCAAAGACAGAATGAGTTTAAGCAAAGACAAACCTATTTGTTTTAAGGTCAAGGGAAGGCATGTGGTTGAGGTTAAAGGGTGAACTGGGAAGAGAAATCGATACAAAAATAAGTCCTTGTAAGACAGAAAAACAAGCATCTAAATGCTGAGAACAGATAGGGGCCATTCAGAGCCTTAATTCCTAAGGAGCACAGCCCCACTGCTAAGCGCTATGGCAGTTCAGTTTAGCTTGGTTCAGTTATAGTTGGAGATTCTCACAGGTCCACCCTCCATCTGGGGTATCGGCTTAGTCAGAGCATGCGGAGATGACCCCCTGCTCAGGCTGCTCCCCACCCAGAATGGTGGGCCAGCCTAAAAGCAGAGGACAGACATGGTAGGTTAGTAGTGGACGTGAGGAGTGAAGGGCTCTGGGCGCGAACGAGAAACCGGAGTCATACAATGTGACCCTCGAAGGCGGCCGCTGTGATGGACCCCAGAGGACAAGTAGGATTTGGTATAGCGGGTTCTGTATTACGGTAAGAGAAGCTAAGAACTGACTAAAATCAGGCAGATGTGAGTTTGGCTCTTGGGCAGCATCTCTGAGTCTTTATTTCCTCAGTGGTAAATGGGAACAGTTCTAGTAACAGGCTTGTCAGGTATTGTGCGGATTGAAGGAAATATTCCCATAAATCCTATGGCACAATTGGTGCTACTATTATTATTGGTTAAGTGGAGACAAGGAAAGAAAGTGTCCCAAGGGCAGAAGCAGCAGCAATGCAAACCAGTTGTCTCCCTTCCCAGAGAAGGGGGCAGTGAGAGCTGACAGTTGATGAGTGCTCTCCATGTCTGGGACCTGCGTCTAAGGGCTTTATAAGTGTTGGCTGATTTTAGCCTCACAAAACCTAATGAGACAGGCATTATTGTTATTATTATCATTCCCATTTGGTGGCAGAAGCCACCAAACCCTATCTTACAAAACTCCCTTCACTTAAACATGACACTCCGTGGCAGAGCCCAGCCCACCGAGCCCCTCGCAGGCATGGGGGAAGGGGTGGGTTATTCTGAGTGTAATGGAGCCACCACACTATAGGCTGCAACATAGACTAGGATGAAAGTATCTACCTGTGTTGAGTTATCTCAGTCTGTTTGGACTGCTCTAACAAAATACACAGGCTAGGGCACTATCAACAGCAGAAATTGATTTCTCGCAGTTTTGGAGGCTGGGAAGTCCAAGATCAAGTGTGTGGCAGATTCAGTCTGGTGAGGGCTTATTTCCAGGTCATAGATGGCACCTTCTTGCTGAATCTCACACGGTGGAAGGGACAAGGGAGCTCTTTGGGGACTCTTTTGTAAGGGCACTAGCCCCATTCCTGAGGACTCTGCCCTCACCATCCAATCCCCTCCCAAAGGCCCCACTTCCTAATACCATCATCTCGAGGGCTAGGATTTCAATATATGAATTTCTGGGGGACACAGAAATTGTCTTCGATTTTTGTTGAATGCATCATGTATTCTTTCACCTGACTAAAGGCAAAGGAACCACATAGAAGCACTGGGCCACTGGTTAACAGTTCTGAGACTGCACAGATCCTGGGCTGGGACAGTGAGTAAATGGGTGCAGATGGGGGCATGGGAGGTTGGAGATTAGCAGTCAGGGAAGGCAGAAATGAACCGTGTGCTACTGCATCCAAGTTAGAGATGTTATTATGACTCTGTTTAGCTTCCTATAGGAATAGATGGAGATATATATATGTGTATATGTAAATAATTATGGATATAGTGTACACACAGGTAAGGATATACCTGTATATTTCCTTGATGTCTCTGCGAGGACCTAGTAAGAATGACATTCCAGTAGCAGCCAGCACAAAGGCTCCAGTGCAGGGCCAGGCGTAGGCCAAAGAGAAGTTTAAATGGTCAGGGACATTCTACAGTGAGGTTGGACACCAAACCCCTCCCTTGGATGTGGGCCAGCCCAGAGTCCAGGAAACGCCGTAACTAATGACAAATTGGAAGCTGTCGGGCCAGAGAGGCTCAGCATAAGGAATGCAGCAGTGAGGTAATCCTCGAGAAGAGAATCTGGGACAAGGTGTTGTCAATGTCAAGTGGAACTGTCACAGTGAAGGGAGGAGGGAAATGATATCCTGATGGTCGCTGGGGGCCTCAGGAACGCACCGGAATGGGCCACCACTCAGAGCGGCAAGGGGAGGCAATCTTATCACCACCAGCCCATCTGAGAGGAGTGACAGGTCTGGCCGGCTCACAGGAGGAAGAGGGTGATTGACAAGATGGGGCAGAGTCTTCCCTTGAGAACTGGCTCCGTCCCTTTCCTGGGAATATTTTCTTTGAGGTCAACTTGCCTGCATCTCTCCCAGTTTCTCGGGCTGTGGCAGAGTACAGTCGTTGTGACAGAGACTAGGGAGCCCGTCAAGCTTAACATTACCAGCTGGCTCTTTACAGAACAAGTTTGCTGACCCTTGGTTGAGGCAAGTCGGGTAGTGCAAAAGCAACCACAGGAAGACATAAACAGATGTGCAGGGCTGTGCCCAACACAACTTTATTTTACAGAGCTTGGTGGCAGCTGGATTTGGCCTGTGGCTGTGGTTTGCCAGTCCTGTCCTAGAGCATCAGTTGCCTCCCAGAGACACCTTCCAACTGCCCAGGGATGGTGGTCCTCCCACAGGGAGCCAGGCACACGGTCAGTGCTCCATGAAGTCCTTGAAGGTTGGTCCTCTGTGACCTCATCATTTCAAGTGGAACTAATAACAACATTGCAAGGGGCGTGACAGAGAGCCCTTGGGGCAGATAAATCCCCTCCAAGGAGTAAGACGGTCCACCTCTTCCAGAACACCCACTCATCCTTGTAACCACCCCCTGTTGTAATCATCCTTGGCTGAACCACCTCTAGGGCGTCCTGCCTCACATTCAATCCCTTTTCCTTCAGATACAACACCTGCCTCTGTTTCCACTGAGGCCTGAGCTGGCCCACACCGCATGCCTTTGTAGGGGGACTCTCCATACTGATTTTCTGCCTGTCTCTAATCAATAAGTGTGTGACCAAAGTAGGACTGATGAGCACTGTTCCGTGGAACCACAATTTTGAAAATGATTAGGGCAGGTCCATTTATCAGCAAGGGTGCCATGAAGATGGTTTATTATTATTTTTGGTGACTTAGATTCCTGGGGCTGCCCTGGCTCCTAATATTTTTAAAATTGATAATTTAGTCCAGGGAAAGGGGGGGTGGTTTGGTTTTCTTCTTCTTTTTTTGTCTTAGGTTTTTTTTTTTTTTTTTTTTTGAGACAGAGCTTCAAGCTGTGGTCCTGAATAGAGTGCTGTGGCATCACAGCTCACAGCAACTTCCAACGCCTAGGCTCAAGCGATTCTCCTGCCTCTGCCTCCCAAGTAGCTGGGACTACAGGCACCGCAACGCCCAGCTATTTTTTAGTTGCAGCAGTCATTGTTGTTTGGCGGGCCCAGGCTGGATTTGAACCCGCCAGCTCAGGTGTATATGGCTGGTGCCTGAGCTGCTTGAGCCACAGGCCTCTAGCCAGGCTTGATTCTTTTAAGTTTCTGATCATTTATGGTTTTCTGATAAATTCACCTAAAAAATCCCATGAAAGCAATCAGACATGGGTTTCTGTTGCTTGCAGCCCGAGAGATCTGATGTAGCTTCCTGACTGGTCTCCTCGGCTCCAGAGAAATCCCTTTGTAGCCTACAGCCTCAGAGTCTTTTATAAATAAATATCAGATCACACCACTTCTCTGCTTAAAAGAGAACAGAAGAAAACCCAAATCCTCTCAGCAAGGCATTCAAAGGACTCCTTGATTTGTCTCCAAATTTATCTTTCGGTCTTGACTCCTAAGACAGATATCCTGTGTATACTTGCAGTTCCCCCAAACATGCCTAGGGCCTTTCTTTCTCTGGGAAAATAGCCCTTCTACTGGGGGATAAGCTGTAAACAGGCAAGGCAGAGAGGAGGAAAGGGAGACTAGGGATGTGCCCAGGGAGGTCACTGCCCTTGGGGGAGGAGGCAGCAGCCAGACGTGCACCTGTAACCTCCATCCCTCCCACACTCCCCTCCCAGCTCCTGCCCCAGGGACTCACATGTAAGCCTTGTAGTTGGATCCGATTTTCTGGATGCGGATGTCGTACTTGGAATCGATGAAGGCCTCAGTGGTGGCGTAGGTTTTGGCCATGGCCACTACGCTGGTGATGTCCTGGTAGTCATGCTGGTTTTCCACTTTGATCTGTAAGGGAGAGTGAGGGGGGTGAGGGCCACCCACCCAGCTCCACCGAGCCTATCCCAAGCCAGGACTGCCTGCCCCACATACAGGGATGGATACCTTTGGGAGGGTCACCTGCTGGCTGCAGAGACAGTCATGGAAACCAATCATTCCACTGCACACCCACACGAGGCACAGAAGAGGAAGGGGGCAATTCCACTTGCGCTGTCAGGAGATGTTTATAGACCAGAGGAGCATTGCACGGGGTTTGGAAGAATGAATATGAGTTTCAGATGGAGTGAGTGGCGGAGCATGGAGGGGCGAAAGGCTGCACAGGCTGGGGCCTGAGGACCCCTGTGGTGGGGGCAGGGCAGGAGGGACAGATGGGCTGAGGGAGGCCACTGGACAGGATGGCAGCAAACAGATCACAGAGGGCCATGACCGCTTTGAGAAGGGGCTAGGACAGTGTTTTTCAACTTTTTTTTTTTTTTTTTTTTAATCTCATAGCACACTTGAGCCTATAGTTAAATATCTGGGGCACACTTAAATTATGTTGATCAAAAAAAAAAAGTAGAAAAAGGAATAGACTTACTGTGCTTTGAACTTCTCTGGAAAATAATGTAATTAATGATCTTTAAACGTTTTCATGGCACACCTAAGATCACCTCACAGCACACTGGATGAAAATCACTAGGCTAGGATCTTAGCCTGAATGTTTGGGAAAGGCCTTGGAAGAGGGAGAGGAGTTTAAATAAAGTGGCTTAATTTGGGTTTTAGAAAAACCGCTCAAGCAGTTGTGCAGAGGACTGAATGGAGGGGTGTGATATGGGACCCAGAGAGACGGCTAGAAAGAAGGGGGTGTGGACGTGTGTGGAGTGTGCATGTGTCCGTGCAGGGGTGTGTGTGGAGTTTGTAGGAGGTGCGTGTGTGGTATGCATCGTGTGGTGTCTATGTGTGTGTGGGGCGTGTGTGGTATGTGTAGTGGTTTGTGGTATATGTGCATGGTGTGTTTGCATGTGTAATGTATGTTGTGTCTATGGTGTGTTTCTGTGTGTTTCTGTGGTGTGTGTGGTATGTTTTTTGTATATTTGTGGTGTGTGTACATGTGGTATATTTTTGTGTGTTTATGTGGTATATATGTGTGTGGTATTCAGTTTGTGGTGAATATATGTATGATGTGTAGTGTGTGTGTTGCACATGTGGCGTGTAGCATCTAGCACCTGTGTGTGGATGCATTGTGTGTGTGCTTGCAGTGTGTGTGTACTTGCAATATGTGTGCTTGCACTGTGTGTGTGCTTGCAGTGTGTAGGCATGCACTGTGTGTGCGCTTGCAGTGCGTGTGTGTGCATTCAGGGTGTATGTGCATGCATGAAGTGTGTGTGTGCATGCAAGGTGTGTGCATGCAGTGTGTGTGTGTACACAGGGTGTGTGTATGTGCACAACTGGAGAGGCTAGCTTTGCTGGGCTGAAGGCCTGGGGGAGAAAGTCACACTGTTTACTGAGTTGAGGCCAGGAACAAGGGGCGGTGTCCTAGGGTTGGGAAGAGGTCATAGGAGCGCTTCCAAGGCCAAGGGCAGGGATGAGGCCAAGGCTCTGTGATAGTGATCTCGAGATGGAACAGAGCTGACTCCAGCGGCTGTAGACAGCTGGGCTGGCTGCTCCCTCCTGCTGGCCATGGGGGCCCTGCTTGTTCAGAATTGGCTCCCCCTCTCCTGTCACACTCACTCAGATACTGAAGGGGTTCTGTGCTAGGCCAGAGGCAGGCAGAGCCCAGATCCCCGTGGAGGAGCAGTGCTGGGTGGTTGGTGTAGGAGGGTGGTAAGGGTGGGGTTGGTTCTCAGGACCGCACCCTCCTGGTTTTCATATCCTATGACCTCCCTCCCGGCCCTCTTCTGCTTGCCCTTCAAGTCACAGTGCTGCCCTACCAACTCCCTTCTGCCAACCACATTTTTCCCAATTGCACCATTTACAAAGGGTCTTCACTGTCCTCTGTGGCACCCAAAACAGGACTGTTAAGCAGGCAGGTGGTCACTGTTAAGTGGTCACTTAACAAATGTGGAACCTGAGATTTCTTGACTTGTCCAAGGCCCGAAAACAGCTGAGCTCAGAGCTGGGAATGAACCTCTGGAGCCCCAAGGCACAGCTTTTCCCAGAACCTCTCTGGGTATCTGCAGGTGCCTGCCTGCTGTTCTTCCTTAGTGGATGCAGTGTCAACCCAGACAGGGGCTTGGTGAGGGCCTCAACCTCAGTGAGGACTCTGAGTTCCACTAACCAGAGGAAATAAAGGTGACCCTGTAAGGTTTCCCTGTTTCCATCCTTCTGCACACTCTTTAGATTTCCCACTTCTTCCAGCTGCGGTGGCAGCAGTGTGCCTCCTCCCTTTGTTCTAGGTCTGACTGCTGGCTGTCCACACTTTCTTTGGCAATGGGACCTCTAAGTTTTAGGGGCACCTTGTCTCTTCTGCTAGAGATTCCTTTGCTCTGGCCTCCTTTACAGGAAGATGTGGCCAGGTCTTCACGTTCTGGCCAATGAAAACAGAGTAGCCATGATGTCAGTAGCCTTTAGGGGGGCCCTGAAGATGAAGGGACTCTTTCCCCCTTTTCCTTCTTCCCTGTGGGTGGAATGTGGACATGGTGGTGAGAGCAGGAGCAGCTGCAGCCATCCTGGGCCATGAGATATGAGGTGCATATTGAGGATGGCTGAGTCTAGAAAGACAGAAAGAACCTGGATCTAATACTGTAGAGCCCTTATCAGCCTCTTACATGAGAGAGAAAGAAACTTTAATCTTGTTTAAGCCACTCTTGTCTGGGTTTTGTAAAAGCAGCCAAACTATACTTCTGCTATGTAGTTTTAGTCTCTTGCTTTTCATGGATTCCTTATCCTTTGGATTAATGTGATCAAGGATCCACCATTCTTCTCAAAATGGTCCCGCTTTTCAGAAGCTCAGTTACCCACCACTCCCTGTATCTACATTCTCTTGTCCCACTCAGGCTTCACTCCTCACCATTCCATGGAAGATGGTTTGGCAGAGGTCCCCCGGGCCTCCTCCCTGGTGAACCTCCCAGAGTTTCCCCAGCCGTCATCCTGCTTGGGCACTTGGCAGAGTCTGAAATTGGTAAACTCTTGCAAATTTGGTTTCCAGATCATATTCTATCTCAGTTCTTTCCCTTTCTTTCTGGTAACTTCTTCTCACTCTTTACTGCCTCCTCTTTTTCCAATGCTCCTTTGATAGTCTTAGGGTTTCATCCTCAGCCAACATTTGGGGTAAGGTTGAGGCGGTTGGAGTTACCAAAATGAGAGAATGGAATAAGAGCTCATCTAATTCACAATTCTGTCCCTGGTGGCTTTGGAAAGAATCAGAAGTTCTCTTGCACGTTAGTGTCCCAGACACAGGCCAAAGTACCATTCTCTTCTTCATCCACAGTCATGATACGCCCTGATGTGGGGGGCGCATGACCACCCAGAATGAACTTCACGGCCTTTATACCTCCACCTCCCCGGCATCTCTGTATGGCTGTATGGTCACGTTTTGATCAACAGGATGAAAGCAGAAGAGGGTATGAACTTCTAGGCCATACTGTTGGAGGGACAGAGAGAGCTTCACATTCAAGGATCTACCACTGGGTCTGGTGGGCGTGGACTCAGACCCACATTCACCTCTCCCTTTCCTCTTCCCACTGGCTGGGACATAGACCATCTTTGACCATGTGGCTGAGCACAGCACACCAGGGTCAGATGATTAACAAGACAGAGAAGGCCAAGTACTTGACCCTGAGGTGGTTCCACACCTGACCTTGGCTGCTTTTGGTTAGACCATTAAGTGAGAAAGAAAGTTCTGTCTGGCTCAAGCCATTTTAAGTCTTTGCTATGGCAGCTGGCCTTTATCCCAGTGATTATACAAGCCCGAAGTAAATTTTTGTTGAATGCATCATGGATTCTTTCACAGTGTAGACCAAAGAGAGAAAGTGTAGACCCAGTGGTTTCATGAAGCAGGGTCAGCCCCACCTCCCCTGGGAACGCGCTCTTCCTGTCTTAGTTTGGGTGGTTTGGGATGAAGGGTCCATCCTACCCTCTCCAAGAGTGAGCACGTGACCCAGGACTCTCTTACCTGGGCCCTTTCAAACCCTCAAGAAAGGCCCTGACCTAATGTTCCTAACAACTTTATATTCTATTCCTTACAGAGGGCATCTCAGATACATAACTCCTGGGCTCCATAACACTCAGCTGCTCTCCTGTCTCTATTAGATTCAAGGACAGGCAGGGAGTCTTGTTCTCAGTTGTGACACTGGTGCCTGGCATGCAGCTGAAGCCCAGCACCTGTTTGCTGGATTGAATTTAAGGCAGGTCTTCACGGAGCCTCCTTGAACTTGAGAGGAGAGCAGGAAAATGGAAGAGAATAAAAGACCTCAGAAAGAAGCAAAGAAAATGTGTTTCAGGGGAACATCTTTTAGAGGGTGAATTCCGTGAATGCCCAGGCTGGATGCTACATTCTCAGAGGGTTTCAGTTTCCATCGTGGTGAGTCCTTGAAAAATGGATAAAGTTTGGGACCCTGGAGAAGTGGGCAGGTGGTCTGGATCCTGAGTGGGTGGGCACTGGAGGGGATTCTGGGGTGGTCTCAGTGCAGAGAGTGTAGGTGGGGTGAGGGGACCCGGGGTACAGCTGTGTGAGGATGGGGACACAGCTGCTGGCCTGGGCAGGGAGTCTTGGCAATCTACTTTATTTACTGTCTGGAACCCCCTTCAAGGGTTCACAAAGACCAGCTGAAAACAGGAAATCCTAAATGAGCTGTGATTCAAGATGCCCCATGTGCTGCCCTGGAAGCTGTGATGGGTGGGCTGCTGGGGCTGCTGAGGACTCAGGCCCACAACCCCCTGCCTCCCTCACCTCTTCCTCCCCACTCTCTGGCTCCTCCCCTCTCCTCTCCCTCCCTCGCTCTCTCTCCTCCTCCTTTCTCACCTGCCTCTCTCCCTCACTCCTTTGCCTTCTCTCTTACCCCTTTCCTCTCGCTCTTAGCAGTCAGCCT